GTGAGCCTCAAGTTTCCATACAAGAATGATAAAAGAAATTAGGGATTTATTTGTAATAGCTAAATACCATGATGAGAAAGTCACCTATCTTAATGTTTTTAAAATAAAAGATTTATTGAACTGAGGCTCCCCCTACCTGGCGTTACTTGAAATGATCTGACACCATCTTGTGGTAATTTGAATACTCGTATTTTAATTCATGAAAATTTACTTAGAAGGGGTTGAAAGAGGGAAAGCTGCTCAGAGAAGGTCAACAAGAGAAGCACCCACCTGGGAAGACAGGAAGCAGGTGGCCAGGTTTTTCTGGACACCTTTTCAAACACAGCGTGACTGTGAAACTGATCAAGCTAGCTCAGAACCAAACTCATCAAAGACGTACTGAGGATCTGCTGTGTCTGCGCGGGGCCCTGTGTTACAAAGAGGCTGCCAAGTGCATGAGCTCATTCAGTCCTCCCCAAAGCAACGAAACCTATCAAAAATTATTTAGGTACAGAGTATTTTTGTTAAAAACATAATGGCATAAGGACTGCACACAAGCTGGGTCACACTGGAATTCTCCAATCTCCATTTCGCACTAGAGATTCTCATGGAAGCAATGTGGTCTGAGGATGCAGGTATCTGCCCAAAGTCCTTGTCTTCCTTGTCTCTGGCTCAGTGGATCACAAACTGCAGTGTGCATAAGAATGATCCCATGAGAATGTATACATATGACATACATGCTATATCCTATGAGTGATTTAAGGGATTTTTTTGAGGTGCATCTGACCGCATTTTGAACTTCCCTATGGTTTTCACTTTCTTCACAGAATGTGTAAACTAACTGCTTTCCCTTTCCCCAAGATATGAATCTGTTGCAAACACCACTGTATACATTGTATGTATTTAACAGTCTATCAAGGTAAAACGTAGATTCTCCTAAGGCTGTCATATTCCCTTATTTCATGTATTTTTTAACATATTAAAAGAAGCCAAAAACTGCACAATATGGGGGGGGGAAAAAGAAAATATACATAAAACAAATGTAATAACAAAAGTGAGAGGCCAAGAAGGAGTCCATCTAATTACAGAAATAATATTCAATATATTTATGGGAGGAGCTTCATGAAGATATGGCATTTACCTTTCTTTTATGCTGAGGGGGGAAAAAATCCATAAGCTTTCAGAAAGCCTGCTCTTAAGAGTAAGGAGTTATTAAAATATCAACCTTGCAAAAAGCTCAAAAGTCGATGCCTGTCTTTTATAACATTAATTCCCCCATCCCCCAAAAAGTCAATGACATTCAAAGGAGTCATTGTCTACCAACTTTCAAAAAGGGTTACCCGAGAGAGCTCAAGCAAGCAAGTAAGCTGACAGATCTGTCTGATGAGTCCTACCAAGAAGGCAAAGAAGACCTAAAATGTCTGATATATTAACATGCCTGTTTTATAAGCATTAAAGGAATCTGCTACCCAAGCTGCTTGCAAAGAGATGGGGTTGCTGAAAAGAGATCTGGTGTTTAGCTATACAAAGGAATCATTGTGACCTATGCTAAATCCCTCTTATGGGCTCTATGCAATAGTCTGTCTCAGAACATAAGCGAAGTTGATTTTATATCAAGGTGAAATGTGCTATCGACGAATCAAAATCTCAATGATCAAGGACAAAACATATTTAAGTCAGAAGATAAGTTGAATGGCTATTCATTGGTCTTTCAGAACCAATGAAGGTTCTGAAATGAAGGATGATGAAATAGAAAGAACAAAGGACAAAGGATCAAGACATGCAGACCACGATGCTGCCACCTGTGAGGCCAGGGCAGTGAACCACCAAGTGATCCTCAAAGGTTCTTCTGGCCAGAATAAGCGATGATTCTAAACAAAGGCCAACCAACAGCACATTGGCACATCAACCTCTCTCTTTCAAAAATGTCCAATAATCAGCAATGGCATAGTGAAGTTTTTTGAAAGGATAGTTTATCATTGTAACACAAAGGAAAATCCTCTTATCTCAACATTAAATGCATGCATAAACCCAATGCAGTTAAAGATACAATCAATGACTGCAAATAACTGCCCTGCATTCTTCAAAACCATCATGGTCTAGAAAGACACAGAAAGACTGAGGAACTGTCCCACATTGGAGGACACTAAGACATAACAACTAAATGCAATGTGGGATCTTGGGCCGGATCCTAGACTGGAAAAGGGATATTAGTAGACAACTGGCAAAATCTGAATAGGGTCTACAGCAGGGGTGGGGAACCTTTCCATGTTGGAATGCCACGTTAATTTAGCTGTAATCAAATAAGGCCACATTCAAGAAGCTTCAATTAGATATACTTAAAAATGTA